TGTTCCTCAGCCACTATCAACTTTAAAAATACATATATATTACTTCTAATTACTGCGTCTGTGTGTGGGTATGGGCATGTGAGTGCAGATGGCTGCAGAGGCCAGAAGAGGGTGCCAGATCCTCCAGAGCTGAAGTTACAGGTGGGTTGTGAGCTGCCTGGTGCCGGTGCTGGCACTAGAACTCCAGTCCTCGGCAAGAGCAGTAAACACCCTTAACCATTGAGCCATCTCTCTAGCTCCAACTTTTTTTTGTTTTGTTTTGTTTTGAAACAGGGTTTCTCACTGGTCTGGAATCTTGCCAAACAGGCTGGACTAACTGGCCAGCAAACCAGCCTGTCTTTACTTCCGAAGCACTGGGATTATGTGCAGTGTTTTGTGTGGATCTAGGGACTGAAATCATATTCTCATGCTTGCAAAATAAAGTTTATTGACTGAGCTGTCTCCCCAGCCCTTTATTTTACTAATGATCACTTTTCTTTCTATTATTTTTTTCCTTCACTTAGTGAGACAGGCTCTCACACTGTAGTTCCAGGCTGGGCTTGAACTAATGGCGATCCTCCTGCCTCAGCTTCCTGAGCTCTGGAAATGTGAGCCACCACACTTGACTGTATTTAGTAGCTACTGATTTCTTACTGACCTTAGTTTGTACAGTGAGGCTTACCGTAAGTGCATGTGTATAAGAGAAAGACGGTGTGTATATAATGATATAATGCTTGGTGGTTTCTATGTTTCTGGAATTCACTCGGATCTTGGGACAAACCCCTTCCCGAGGGGAAGATGTCTACTGTATTAAAAATGTGAGCTGCTGGGCAGTGGTGACGCATGCCTTTAATCCCAGCACTCAGGCTGACGCAGGTGGATCTCAGTGAGTTCGAGGTCTATAGCCTGGTCTACAGAGCCAGTTCCAGGACAGCCGGAGCTACACAGAGAAACCCTGTCTCAAAAAACAATCAAAATCCCAAGTGTGGTGGCATAGTTCTGCAATTCCAAGACTTGTGAATTGGGGGCAGGAGGGTCTGGATTTTCCCAGCTACACAGTGTGAGTGCAAAGCCAGCCTGGGCTATGTGACCCAATTCAAGTCACCAGGCTTGGTGGCATGCACCCTTACTCACTAGGATGTCTTACCAGCTCCAGTTATTTTGTGACAGTCTTGCTTTGCAGTCCCAGCCTGCCTGGAACTCACTATCTGTGGATTTTAGACGGAGAGTAAACCCCATAACCTCAGCATCCTGACTGCTCAGATGACTGGCATGTGTCACCATGCCAGGCCTCTGCTCTTCTCTCCAATCCATCTCATTCGGACCTCAGAAAGTCTGTCAGTTTCACCACTCTGCCCCAGGTCCCTTTTACATTCCTTTTGTGAACCCTGCTTCCCCAGGGAGCCCCCAGCTCCTCCAGGAAAGGGGGGAGGATTTTCCTAGTGTTAGCTTCAGCTCCCTAGGGAATCTGGGAATTTTTCCTTAAGGGGACAGGACCTCACCCCTACGCAGGCACTGGTCCACAGTGGCCAGGCTAGTTCTTGGACCCCTGGCGTTGCTCTTCCAGCACCAAGCCAGCTAAGTCTCGTTTCATGGTTTCATGCCAGCCGTCTCTCACCCTCTCTTAGCCTCTGTTTCTTGCCGTTCTCCTTGACATCAGGCTTTTCCTGAGGGTGTGTGAAGAGGCAGGCAGCCAGCAGTAGTAGGAGGGGGAAATGGCTCGCAGCCTCCCTTCCTCTTCACCCCGGCCCCAGAAGAGCACCTGACCATAAGAAGGTATCCATGTGACAGGCAGCATTTATTTCTGAATCCAGTGTCCACAAATGATGGGCTGGGGGAGACGGGGTGGGTTGGGGACTCCAGTGTCAGACTACACAGCAGGCTACCAGGTGGGGGGCAGTGCCCAGCAAGGGAGACAGAAGGTAAAAATAACCCGGCCTGCCGACCCTCAGCGCTGTGTCCCAGGCCGGGCCCTGGGCTTGGGTCCAGGAGCTATTCTGGGGCCTGGGAGAGTTACATTCCCTGGAGGAAGGCCCCCTCCCAGCCCTCCTCCCTCTTTCCCTCCCTGAGGCCGCTGGCCACTGTGGGTCCCTGTCCAGCAGCAGAGGAAGGAAGGGAGGGCCAAGGCTGGAGGAGGAAGGAGGTGGAGGCGTGTGCGCAGAGCCGGTCCGGTCCTCCGATGATGCTCTAAGTTCCAAATCCAGATCCAGAGAAGGCCTCTGGGAGGTCCTCACCTCAGCACTGGGAACAGAACCGGCAGCTCAGGCTGACCCTGTACTCAGTTGGTTCCCCAATGGAAACCCAGGGCATCACTCACCTCATCTCCAAAACCCCCGCTGCCACCTCTGCCTCCTCCGGAGGGCCCGCCCATGAGAAGGCCCGTCTGTTCTGGACGATCCGAGCCAGAGTGGCTCATTTCTGGTTCCCTGGCTGGCCTGGGAGGGGACAGTGGCACAGGGAATGGTCACTGTTAGAGGTGGGACTGGGAGAGAGGTGTAGGGGTGTCAGGAGGTAAGGGGAGGGTTGCCGAGGTTGAGAGGCAGGTTAGAAGCAAGGCTAGCCTTAAAGGGAGGTCCCGGATGCTTATGGGCAGACTTGAGGATGCTAAGGGAGGTTGGGGTGAAGATAAGATGGGGATACATGAGGTTGGTTTCTGGGGCCGATTGTGGAAAGGCTGCGTACAGGAAGTTGGGTTTGAGGTTAGACACAGACACGGGGTTGTTGGGATGTGGCTACGATGGAGAAATTCTGACTGCCACTGGAAGTGTGTGGCTAGCAATGGGGTGGAAACAGACTGGAGATGAAGCCGGGTTTCGGGGCACAGGGCTCTAATCCCTGCACTTGGGAGGTTAAAGCAATAGGATCGAAAGTTCAAGGCCAACCTGGACATCACAATGTGACCTTGTCTCAGAACAGTCAAAAAAGGGAATAGGGATTCAAGTAAAGAA